GATGGTCAGAGCGATCGACAACAATCATAAACGTGCTAACTAGCATTAGCATCGTTATTCCCGGTGTACATGTAGGCGACAACAGCGTGAGCGCTCTGTGGCGAGCAGAGGAGGCGATGGAAACTCGTAGAGTCACAGCAGCGAAGCTTCCGGACAGGTGACAGCTGGAGCTGCAGCTCCTTGGACTGAGTGTCCTGGTGACAGCTGCTCTCCAGGTCTCTGCACAGGACAACACTGGCCCTGTTTACATGACATCAAAGCCTCTGCAGCACCAGCTCGCAGTCGCTGATCTTTCAGAATAAGAGCGAGGAGGTTGGAAGCTTGTTCCCACCACCATCTATAAGGTGAAACGCTCTGCCAATCAGAAAGCTCGGTGAAGCGAGATTGACGTAAACGCTGGAGAACTTAAAGCTGATTGTTTGTGTTTGCTAAAAACTGAGAGCGCCTTCTGCTTGCACGTAACCAGGAAATGATGTCGTTCACGCAGCTTCCTTATTGGCAGAGCTTCCACAGGTCGGCCCTTCGACTGACGCACACACAAAGAATCGCTCCCGAGGGGGATTCTGGGAAAGCTGCTTTATCCCTCAATGTTAAACAGGCCTCCTGGAATCATTTGGTTGTTTTAGCTGTAAAAGTGTCATAAAATCAGCTGTGAGCTTTTGTCTTCAGGATTATGCGTCTTTCCACATCTGGTAGCTTCTTTCTCTACTGTGAGCGTCATCAGGATTAGTAACAGAAAAGGACTAAACTAAAATGTTACAGTTTTTACTCAAAGAGGCAGAAAGAGAGACTGTACATGATTACAAGTATGTGACCTTTGACCCTGTGGTTTGTTTTTGGGCATCTCTTTTCTTCCCCTGGTACACGTCCTCTCAGTCTGTAGCCAAAGGCCCACATCGCACCGCTGACACTCGTGCTCCTTTTATGCAACATTTTCCTGAGTGGATAATAAACGCAGCCTGCTCTGCCTGCATGTCCTGCAAGCCTCAAATACACCTGCGTTACAGGTGTTGGAAGAGGGCGGGGCAGTGTTTGTCATACATGAAACAAACATGGCATAAAACAATGTTGGGCTGGGCTTACATCCAGCAACTCTTATTTTTATATAAAACACTAAAAACAGCAAAAATAAAATCATTGTAAAAAAGAAGAAAGATCAGTTTTCTGTGCGACTGCGTCTCTCTCGACCTTCGTCTTCGGCCCGCTGTGACGCAGTGCTTACCCGAATGAGTCCAATATCAGCGGAAAGCTCAGCGTCGCTGCTTTAAGGAACCGCTGAGATTTTTAAGATGCGCAAATCATTCAAGAGTTACGGTACTTTAAAGAAACGTTGGAAAAACCTGTCGCCGGCGACGGGACGGGGGCTGAAGGCTTATCCAATCAGCAGACAGCTTTCCTTGGGTGACGCGGTCGACCTGCTGCTCCTCGTGGAGAATCATTCTCCTAACGTTTCCTCTGGGCGGCGCTGTGACGCTGATCGCAGCGCTGAGATCTGCGTATC